GAAATGAGTTCAGTAGCACCCAAAACAAGCAGTGAGCAAACCACTTCATTGCTGCAGTCAGCACAGTTCTCCCCACCACTATTTATAGGCTCCACTTGATTCTCACACAGCAAATTCAGAGCCTTCACTACTCTTGGTAAATCAGCAGCATGAGCTGGAGTGATCTACAATTTGCTATTCACAGGTAAACAATGAATTTACAACTCTGGAAGGATTCTTTTCAATGTCTCTGCTTTCCTAATATTCATTGTGCATAATTCACTTCACCCAGAGCAGAAATGTGTGGCCTGTGAGCTTGCTTACCTCCCAGGTGCTTGGCCAAGCCAACACAAGATACAATACAGCTAAACCAGCTTATTACTAAGCTGTAGCTTGTTTTGAACCAAAGGTTTTGTCAATATTATGCATTATCAAAGAACACTCATATTCAGACAACTAAACCCCATTCCTCTGCATGTGCTGCCTGCAGCCACTACACGGCCGTGAACTAAGGCTGCAATGAGGAATCCCTGCCATGCCACACACTGTATCATCTGAAAGAATAAACCAGACCACTCTGGTGTCTTTGTGGGGAAAAGTCACCCACAAGCATGGCCAAACCCCAAACCCAACGGAACTGAGATGCTGGAGGGAAAGGGATGGGCTGTCCAGAGGGATCTGGACAGGCTGGAGAGGCAGCTAATGCCAACCTCATGGAGTTCAAAGCCAAGTGCAAGGTCCTACGCCTCAGTCAGGGCAATCCCAGACACACCTACAGGCTGGGGGAGACATCATTGAGAGCAGCTCTAGGAGAAGGACTTGAGGGTGATTGTTGGTGACAAATTCCCCATGAGCTGCAGTGTGAGCTCACAGCCCAGAAACCAACTGTGTCCTGGGCTGCATCCACAGGAGTGTGGCAGCAGGTGAGGGAGGGGATTCTCCCCTTCTACTCTGCTCTGGTGCGACTCCACCTGGAGTCCTGCACACAGTTCTGGTGTCCCCAACATCAGAAGGACATGGAACTGTTGGAGCAAGGCCAGAGGAGGCCACAGAGCTGATCAGAGCACTGGAGCACCTTCCCTATGAGCACAGGCTGAGAGAGTTGGGGCTGTTCAGCCTGGAGAAGAGAAGGTTGTGTGGAGACCTCAGAGCAACCTGCCAGGAGCTGAAGGGGCGCCAGGGAAGCTGCAGAGGGACTCTTGGTTAGGAGCTGCAGGGACAGGACAAGGAGCAATGGGGGGAAATTGAAAGAGGGAGATTCAGATTAGATATCAGGAATAATTTTTTGCTGTGAGGGTGGTGAGACACTGTCCCAGGTTGCCCAGGGAGGCTGTGGCTGCCCCAGCCCTGGCAGTGTTCACAGCCAGGTTGGCTAAAGCCTTGAGCAACCTGCTCTGGTGGGAGGTGTCCCTGCCCAGGGCAGGGGTTGGGGCTGAGTGATCTCTGAGCTCCATTCCAACCCCTTCACACATTACAAAATTATGAAAGCCTTCAGCCCTTCATGCATTGCTTACCCCATAAATGAACCTCTGGTTGAACTGCTGCATTGCTCCCTGGAGCTGACTGCGCTGCAGCTGCCATTGCTCATAATTCCGGACTGACTCCAGTGTTGGCCTCTGCCACGTTGTGGTTCTGGTGAAGTGGTCAACGTAATAAATCCTCCCCATATTGTCCACTCTTCTCTCCCAGCTTTGAAAAAGATTCCCAACAATAGTTGTCAATGGCAGGAGTGAGAAGGCAGTGTGAGGGCTCAGAAGCAAACAGGCAGTGTGATGGGAAGGAACAGAGCATGGGCTCAATTGTTTGAGGAGAATCACTTTTATTTGTTGTACACTAGCCCAAATCAGTCTCATTCTATTTACTGTACATTTAGGGGGCTTTGAAACATTTTAAGAGCTGTCTAAACCATTGCCCATTCCATGCTGGCATCACTGTAGTTAGCCCGCCCAGCCCATGACACAAGTCTGCTGCTTTCTCCCAAACACACAGCAAACCCCCTGAGAGTTTGGGCTATTCAGTGCAAGACTTCCTCACACTCTAATCTGGCACAAAAGGCAGAGATGGGCACAGGACTTGTTGGTTTGGTTTGGTGTGGGGTTTCTTCCCAATTCTCAGTTAATCACAAAACTGGAAAGAAAACATTAACATTCTGAGCAATTTTAAGTAATACACTAGTTGGTCCTCTCAAAGAGTCCAAAGTAACTTGAAATATGACAGCTGGGCTCCCTTTATGAGACTCTCTCCCAGTTTTTGTTAATACCAGGTTCTCTTTAGCACCTCACATTTTACTTTGTAATTCTGTCTAGTGTGTGACCCATTTGAGGCTGAATGAAGTGCAACAATAATCCTTGTATTTTTCTTATATTTCTTAAAAAATAAGCAACATAGAACAACTGTGACCTAACATCACTGGCTCTTCTGATGCCAAGAGCCTGAAAGGCCTAACAACCAAAGCTGGTTTAGCTGTGCATAGTACATTAGCAGCTAGAAAGCCCGAGACAAGATCAAAGGCCTATGCCCAGTAACGTCAGGATAAGAGGCAGCCAAGAGCATTTGTGCTCCAGCTGATAGTTACCTCAAGCCCAAAGTACAGTGCAGTGGCTGTGGTTCTCTTTTCCACTTGGGGGTGTCTACTGTGTGTAACTGCAACGTGTTTCTCGGGCAGTAAAGATGCATTTACACAATCTTTGCCAGGAAATTCAGATTTGGTGATTTTTGCAATTCGCCTCTTTGCCATACTATGGAGCCAACCTGGAGCCACTGTTTGCACTGGGTTCACACTCCTCTTTACAGACATGCTTTCTAGCTTTAATTCAGGCAATTAATCCCTGGAAAACCCAGACATATTCCAAACAATCACATGCCTGATCCTGGCTCACCTTGGGGGAAGAGGCTCTGGCCGATCCCACGTTGTCCTTTTCTCCACATGATCTACATAGTACACTCGACCATGCTGGTCTACTCTTTGTTCCCAGCTGGAAAGGAAACCATTGTTTAGCATTCCTTCAGATCAAACTGCTCCAACTGTTCATCCATAGCATAAAGATGAGAAAGGTTCTTTCTTAGAAAATTCTTATTATTAAATAAAATGCTTGAAACTAAGACTTGGCTCATGGAAGCACCAAAATGCAGCCCAACACACAGTGGTACAATGCCCAGGTCAAAAGCAATCCTTTGCCAATTAAAATACAGAACACATTGTACATAGAATGATGGAATCAGCCGGGTTGGAAAAGACCTCCAAGATCATCGAGTCCAACCCTACC